TTAACAAAAGGAAAGTTTAAAACATTGTAAAATAGAAATGGAAGGTTTCATTAGATAATGGAAGACTTCCACAGGAAGACATAAGTTACCTCGTCTAGTGTTATATAAACAACTAACTGGCCAGGGGCCAGATAAACTTTTGTATTTGTATATTGTTGATATGAGAATAAAATAATGGAGACTTATTACTACTATTGCCGTTGTTTTTTTTACATGGCGCTGTGAACAGGATCTGGTGAATAGGTGGAACTATCTTAACAAAATAAGACATGGCATCTGCATCCCAGATTTGATTGCTCATCTCATACAACAAATGATAAAGCTACAAAGGGTAAATTATCGCGCTGCGAAGAACGGAACCCCTAACACAACGCAAACGCCCCCACACACACACACACAAAAAAAAGAAAAAACAGACCGTCCTGTTATTGAAACCAACGCAACGGACAACGACTGGGTATTATTCCTTGACGCTTGGTATAAAGAGATGTAAAAACTTACCAACCCAGTCGAAATATGCAACGAATTGAGAACGATATGATCGCCCGAAGTCAACAGGCTTTTTTTGATCTTATAGTGGCTGAAATCTTAAATTCAGCTACGGAAGAAAGGCATCTGTTACACATCCGATTCGCTGTGGTAAAAGGGCTTCTTGCACGAGGAGGTCCACCGACAGACGTATCATTCCCCACGTCAGGTGCAAGATGATGCAATCACTCATTTTTTTTTTTTTTTTTTTAGCAAGGCTACGATCTCAAGCCAAATTTTGTTCGTTCACAGTTAATTGTCCCAACACAGAAGGATGCTGTCAGCAAGTCAACTACTTGTGCGACATGATAGCTGGGCAAATGATTGAAGAACTCGCCAACAAGGAACACTAGAGTCAGGTTTTGGCCGAGGCTGCCAACCTGACCACACTAAAAGCAAAAGTTCGTCCGACTCGTCAGCTTGGAAATGATGGACAAGTCAGTTGCACGATTACTAAATGATGTTAGTACATCAACCTCGTCCTACCTACAGATATCTGACCACGAGCACCGTGCGCATCGATAACCCCTGAAGAATTAACGTATCCGCTTCTTTGCCGAATAAGAATCTTTGTGGGGTTGTGGGAAGACATTCCATCCAAGTGAACCAATTAATAGGAGTTAAACTGGTATGTCATAATTGCGAGATTAGGGGTCACGTAGAAAGAGTATGCCAGAAATCTACTAAAAATTGAAATCGGAACCACGAACAGATCAACAAGGTGTAAGACAGGGCGTGTGATTCATTCACTTTTTCAAACACCTGTCTAAACATTCCCACAACCGCGCTATCCGCTATGCTGGCAGATCAAAACGGAGCCATAAAACCGGTTTCATACCGTCCGGTGCTGTGCCTCACCTGGCATGGAATGGAAAGCGATTTGACAATAGAAGGGACTATAATGCATCAGACCTATACTTCATTTGGACGCACCCAGACTGGTTCAATTAACCATGATAGTCTCGCACCCTCGCGTTCACCGATACAGTGGCTGAAATTTGTTCAAGTGGACCGGAGATATTAAAACTACAGACGACTACCTCATGCCAATTAGTCATCGAATACGTGGCATCATAGACAACTAACTTCATATAAAAGGTGTATAAAAATTGGCTCGAGGGAAAACACAACAGATGGTGTATGTGTCAAACAATACGTCTGGGGGTTTTTTTTGGGGGTCAGAATTTGCTCTGAATGACCTACATCTGTTGCCACCTGATTTCCCAGTCCAGACATCATGGCTCAACTTGTTGAAGGGCGCAAAGGAAAATGCCCTGTTGACACATGCAAACGCAGAAAACCCATTCCGGCAATGTCTAGTATCACCCAGTTCATTCCGACGGAAACCAACAGGCACTTACTGGAATGATGGATACGTGACCATTTCAAGTTCAGCGCATTTAATACATGCCCACACCAACCCTTAAAGACTATAACAGGAAAGCCATTGGACGTTACCTTCATCCACAATGCGAGACCATCAGCAGTCCAAACACCAATCCCTATCCCTCACCATTGGAAGAAGAGAGTGAAACAAGACCTCGATCGAGACGTCGCTTTGGGTATAATTGAACCGGTGCCAGTGGGAACTCCTACAACCTGGTACTCAAGGATAGTAGTAGCACCCAAAAAAAAAAACGGCTTCCCCAGACGCACGGGGTAGTTACAAGAATTGAACGCTGCCTCCATGAAAGAAACCCAATACACCCCGTCCCCATTTAATCAGGTGTCTATCGTTCCGACTCAGAAAAGGAAAACAGTTCTGGACTTATGGAACAGGTACCACGACTTACCGCTTTCCCGAGCCGCACAAAATGCCGCTATATTTATCACTGAATAGGCTCGATACAGGTATCTTTGTGCTTTGCAGGGATTTCACGCGTCTGGAGACGTATATACCCGTCGGTTCGACGATGTTACAGTGGACATGGTTCGAAAAACACGTTGCATAGACGATAGCCTCCTTTGGGACGATTCCATAGAGTCCTCGTTCTGGCACACAATGGAATATATAACCCACTGTGGGAAGAATTGGTTTGTGTTTAACCCTGACAAATTTCCATTTTACAGAGAATGTGGTGGACTTTGCTGGGCTCTTAATTATGGCCGACGTTGAAACCAACGAAGAAAAATGACTGAGGCCATACGTCACCTCCCTACGCCCACAAATATTACGGGCGTCAGGTGCTGGTTTGAATGCAGTCGAAACAATCGACAGTGCAAAGCAAGGCTGCATTCCTGTCCACATACGAACATGACCTTAGACTGAGGGCTGTTACATGGATCATTGCCGCAACAGCAATTGATGAAGAATGTCGGACTGTGGCGGAATATCTAAGGACTGGTTTCCCCAAATCAAGTCATGACCTCCTGTCGGTGATCCCTTGGTTCTGGCCCAATCGCAAGGAATTGTACTACATCAAAGGAGTAGCGCCCAAGAATAAAATCCTTATACCTCAACAACTATGTGTAGAAGTACTTGAATTCCTACATTCTGCACACCAAGTTATAAACTGCATGCTAGCAAATGAGTGACAACGCCTGGTTTGGATGCCAGTCCGACAGTACACTGGTTGGGTGAAAGTGGTTCTAATGTCATCCGGGAAGGCCAGGGCAGTATGCATCACCATGAGAACTTGGTTCTGTACATATGGTACACCTGAAGAATTTTCTTCCGGCAAGGGATCACCTTTTGAATCACAAGAATACGACTCGTTCCTTAAGAATTGAGGAATACGGAAAAGTACTTCGTCGGCTTACTACCCATAAAGCAATGGCCATCAAAACGGCTAAGGGTGTACTTGCAGACAATACGAACATCTGTGGTCGGCTGTGCCATGATCGTGAAGCCCATGCTTTGCTGACCCAAAGCAACAATGCCGTCTAAGATATTGGCGTGTCTCCAGCCATTATGTTACGGTCGTGTTATCAAAGACGTGGGGAGAAATTAGTAAAACTGAGAGATGCAGCAAATGCTAAATTTAGAGGTGCATCTATATACTGTTGTAATATCAGCATAGATATTCACAAATTATCGTTTTATTAAATAAAGACAAGTTTGAAGATTCAAAAATATAGTGTAATGTCATTTTCGAGTGGGATCTTTTTTTAAAAGAATTTTATTTTATGTTTCCCTTTTAGCAACTGTTAGACAATTTTTAGTATGGATGTCTAAATGGAAATAATTCTGATATCACACTTCGACTGACTAATGTTCAATAACGGATGATTAATGCCTTCAAATTTATTCATTTTACTAAGTTTAATAAAAGCGTATAGAATTAAAAAATATATTCTATTTGTTATATAAGTTTGTTAACGATAATATATTTTTAAACATAAAAGCAAATTCTTGATTATTGCACTGCTGGTCTTCCGTATTTCTTTTAGGTTTATTTTTACTTTTTCGTGTGCTTTTTACAACGGTTTAATAATTACACAGTTTTATTTTATCCTTTGACCTCACGGGTTACTGCGCGTAAATAAAACATTATTTATTCTCATTCTGTTTTAGATAAAAGGCAAGGATTATTTTTAGAAAATCCAGTTAATCCTTAAATTTATTAATAGAATTCGAAAAACATATCTCTACGACAAATATTGGATTCTAATTTTTTAAATTTGTTGTTGTTTAGTTTACAATATTTTTCGTATACAAGGGCGATTCGATGAGGGATGAAAAAGTGTGACAATGTTTTTAAAATGCTTAAAAAAATATTATTTGTATACATACGGAAATTAGTTTTTCTTTTTATTCGGATTAGCCTCTAGGCCATTATTTTTCAAGTAGAAGTGCAAAGAACGCTTTTTATTTAAATGATTTAAAATTTAAAATGAATTTTTGAGTTGTGTTTTTTCTTTAGGAATTCCCTGACGGTACCTGTTGTTCTGCTTATCATTTTTATAAAACGAAAATTTAGCTTAAAAAATATTCGATTCATTCATTTATTTATTTAAAATTATCAAAAGCGTTTTCCGGAATTTTTTTAGGCTGTACCAAGGAGTTATCTTAGTTTAGATATGACAAAAGTTATGAGCATCGAGTGAAAAACTGAACTCACTTCTTCAATCGATAAGTCTGCATTAGGAATTTTAACCACATTAAAATGGAAATTATAAAATGAGAGTTACCTCCCTTAGATGGAGATAAAACATTTTTTAATTCAATGTTCTTTCTGTTTATGTGTAAATAAAAAAAATGTTTAATGCTATATTATGTCAAAAACAATAAATTCTGGAAAATAACTCCTTAATGACGAAGGCAAGCTGAACTGAACTTTGTATTTGCTTGTGAATTCCTCAATCAATATGACATTTTCAAGTGCAGTCAGGCGGAAGTTGATGTACATCACGTGACTGTTGCCAGGCAACGACGCACCTTTGCCCTGTAAACAATTACAGGATTTTTATTCAAGAAAGAAGAATTTAATTTAAGAAATATATTTTGATTTTATTTGATCAAATCAGTCAAAATGCTCAACTTGGATGAATATTTTAAAACTACTTTCGAGGATAAACTCCTCTTGTGAGTTGAATTTTTTTATAAATATTTTAAACCTTCTTATACGAAATAATAAAAGATTTTTTTTTGTCAGTAGTTGCAAATGTTTTTCTGCCCAAAATAAAGGAAGTTAGGCTTGTGTCTGACATGAGAAGTTAATAATTTTAATACGAATTTATTAATGTTTAGAATAAACTTAAAAATAAAATATTATTTAATAAACAAGTTCACAAATTAATCAAAAATCAATGACAAAGTTAATTTATAAAAAAAATATATTTTTAGCAGAATTAGATAAATAAATCTTTTGTATTTTTTAAGTTATACCACCAAGGATATGTTTTTTTTCCTCTGAAATGAAAAGCAAAAGATTGCTATCCGCTATTTTTTTTTTTTTTTTTTTTTTTTAACTGCAATAAATCAGGGAATTATCTGATTTAAATGAAATGTTCACTACTTAATGAATGAACTGTAGTTTACCGAATAGGTCATTTCATTAAAAAACTTTGTAGAAATATTGGGGGAGGGCCAGATTTAATACCTCCCTAACTTTGCGATATCTCGTGTATACTTTTTAATTTGGTGAGTGTTCATATTTTCTTTTTAGTGTTAAAGAAAAATTTTTGGGAATGTTATCTCCATGTTTATGCAATATTAAATGTAAATATGCCAAAAATTCATCTTGAACCGTAACAGAAATAATGCAGTAAATTAAAAAAATAAGTTTTGTTGAAAGTTGGTGCTTGCAGAATTGTTTTCCCTTTCATTCAACAGGAGTAACATATCTGCACTGAATATCTGCTTTTAAAAATTTACTCGTAATTCTTCAGTGAATTTTGAAATTCATCCTATTGCTACTCGTAACAAATTTTTATTAATATTATTATCATTATTAATAAATAAAAACATGTTTGGAGAATCAAAAAATGCAAAGTGTATCATTTTCAAGTATAAACCTTTTTTAAAAAAATTAATATTTTTTTCCATTTTAGCAACTGTTAGATTATTTCTGTATGGAAGTTCAAAAAGGAAATTACTTTCTTTGACTGACTACTCTTCAAAGCAGATAATAATTCAATAACTCTTAAATTCAAAATATTTTCTTTAAAAAAAACTCATTGGGTGCAATTAGATATTTTTATGACATTAAACAGATGAGAAAATATTTGCAGATTACTGTCTGAATTTTTTAATAAAAAGTTATCATAATTTATTTTATTTACATTCTCACTTGTACAGCAATTTTCTCTTTTATAAGTTGATGATATTCTTTTAAAAGGAACAGAATTTGAAATGGGAAGAAAGGGAAAAGAGATAATTAAAAAGAATAAAAGAGAATAGGATAGAAATGGAATGCAATGAGTGGAAATTTTGAGAAGAAAAATAAACAGGTGCTTAGAGGAAATAAGTAAGAATGGAAGTGAATATAATAAGATGGGGGGGGGGATGAAAATAGAAATTAAATTCAGAATGAAATAACATTGGGATAGAAAGCAACAATGAGAAGATGCAATAAAATAATAGTAATAATTAAGAACATAAGGACACTGAGTATCTGTCTATATTTCTGAGATGAGGTATTATGTACACTGTTTACATTATTTGTACTATTGTCCTCATCTTTGTCACCATATTTATTATAATGTTTCAGCCGTTGTACACTCTGGCCTTCTTCAGGTTGTTGAAAACTGAACTGAACCCTTTATTTTGCTCACTGGGGTAGACTGTTCTGGTTCCACATGCCATGTTTAATGGATGTCTATTGTTAGTTATCTCCTGTTAATTGTCAGTTATCTCCATTGGAAAATTCGTAAACTTAGCTGACCAAGCATAGAAATGAATACAATATGGGAACCACTGCCTTAACCGGATCTTTTTGGGTCCTGTCACTGGATTGAACTAATACCTTTATCCACTGTGCCATGTGTCCTTGAGGACATCTGTGTATAAATTTCTGGCATTATAAACCTAATGGCTTCAGCAAACTGTTTTTTACCAGTGCTCATATTGCAATTTTTTGCTGTTATCATTGCATGTTTTTTTTACCAGAGCTCATATTGCAATTTTTGTTGTTATTATCACTTTTCTCTGGCACTCCTTATTACTGGTTCCCATATTGTATTCATTTCGACGCTTGGTCAGCTCAGAGAGTTTTGTGGCCTAGCATATGTGCTGATTCTTTAAGTTTACAAATTTTCCAATGGAGATAACTGACAATTGACATCCATTAAACATGGCATGTGGAACTAAAACAGTCTACCCCAGTGAGTGAAATAAATGGTTCAGTTCGACATTCCAGGCTGGAGCGTACAATGGCTGAAACATTATAATAAATATAGGTAGACAAAGATGAGGACAATAGTACAAATAATGTAGACAGTGTACATAATAATCATCTCAGAAATATAGACAGATACTCAGTGTCCTTATGTTCTTAATTATTACTATTATTTTATTGCATCTTCTCATTGTTGCTTTTCTATCCCAATGTTATTTCATTCTGAATTTAATTTCTATTTTCATCGCCCCATCTTATTATATTCACTTCCATTCTTACTTATTTCCTCTAAGCACCTGTTTATTTTTCTTCTCAAAATTTCCACTCATTGCATTCCATTTCTATCCTATTCTCTTTCATTCTTTTTAATTATCTCTTTTCCCTTTCTTCCCATTTCAAATTCTGTTCCTTTTAAAAGAATATCATCAACTTATAAAAGAGAAAATTGCTGTACAAGTGAGAATGTCAGTTTATTTTTGATTTTGCATAGAATCAATTTTAATAGAAATCAGGATATTCTCTTTGCCACAACATGACCCCTTCTCCAATCACATCATCATCCTTTACTGATTTCATCCAAACACTGCAATGTCTTCTTTTTTATTTTTTCTCTAGCAAAATGCTGGAGCGAGAAGAAGACCAACTCACACCAGCAACGCGCCTCTTGGAGAAAAGACGAGAGTTAGCTGAGGTGGAACAGGCTCTGGCAACACAAAAAGAGGTTAACCTTTTCTTTCTTTTTCCTTCCTTAACACAAAATGGAATTCAAGAATTAAATCTTTTAAAGTAAAATTTTATTTCTGTTCAGTTCATATCTTTTGAACAAGTTTCAAATGAAATAAAGTTTGAAGCTGTGAACCTGCCACATGGACCACAATCTTAAAACCTTTGTTCTAAACACCCTAATCAAATACTAACCAAACATGCAACATAATTTATTAGAAAAAACCTAAATGGGTATTTTGTATTCACTTTCATAATATTGAATCTGACACATGATGCTGTATATGTTTTATTTCACCATCTTGGCTTTTTCAATACATCCAAGGGAAGCAACTCCCGAATACTAAAAAAAGTTCTTGTTACATTAGCAATCAAATTCATTGTTTTGTATCAATAACTGACATCAGATCTTAGGTTGGGAGGTATTGTTCTTTTTATCTAATTCTGTGTCTGTGGCACATCAGGAGAAAAAGACCAAAACAGAGAAAGAATGAGTGAGACAGAGGAGAGATCCAATAAACATGTTTTGCAGTAATACACAAGATGTTCAGACTAATCATTTTGTATTTTTCATACTTTAATTTTGTTGCTTTGTCATGAGAAATTTTTATGTTACTCTGATATATGGTATAACCAGTTCGATAGCTTTTGAAGAGGAAGCAACACTACAGCTTTTTTCTGTATAAATATATTTATTTTCTAAATAGAAAGAAAGAAAGAAAGAAAAAGAAATGCTTGCAAACAATATGTGCCTGTAAAGGAAAGGCACCCAGGTACATTGTCAACAATCCTTGTTGAAGAAGAAGTCCTCCTTTCAGTTCTGTCAATAGTAGCTTATTTTTTCTAAGGTTGCTGGTTTTGTTCTTCTGTGTTTCCGTTCTTTATAACCTGATGCCACTGTCTAGGGTTAGTAGGTGAAGAGAGCAGCCTTGGTCGGTGCTGCTTGAATATTGTCATAGAAGAAAAAAAAGAATGATGGATCTTTGAATCTGGTGCTTATATAGCCAGTGTCACATGACCCTTACAGAGACAATGTTTGACCCTTTCTATAACCAATCTGTATCCTTGTTACATTCTGTGCATGATTAAGCTAATTTTCCCATTGATTGTTCTAAATTCTAATAAAACTTCTAATGAAAACATATCTGCAAGTCATCACTAAAGTAGGAATATATTAATAGCTTGTCTAATGTTTTGAAAAAGATAAATTTTGATCTTTTCTAAAAAGCATTTTGTTTTGATAATTCTTGATAACAATCTCAGCAGAGACTTATACTGTAGAGACGACTAAAGCAAGAAGACTGTAACAAGTTTCATTATTGCTAAAAATAGATGAAAATTTGGATTCACTTGGTCATGAAGTTTTATTTTCATGAACCAATCAGAAACAAGATCTGTTTCCTACAGGGATATATGATATCATGGCCTCATAAATAAATCAGAATCCAAGTGACAATTTCCAAATGAATCTTTTTTTTCAGCAACAAACATATAAAGAAATAGATAGCCTGAATTCAGTCAGAGAGTGAATGGATTATTTTATCAGTTCTCCGATGTTGGCTGTCATCATTAAACACACAAGGCCAAAATACTCATATATGTAAGCATGACACATGCATGCACAGATACACGAACATATACATGCTTTATGCCATTAAATACAACAATTTACACAGATGACAACTAGGTATTTATACACATGGGGTTATACATATGCATTTATACATACACACAATCCTAAATTAATCACTCCTGTCTTCTGTAAATATATTAGATATATAAAAATTTATTTAAATTTTATATTCAATCTTTTGATTTTCTTTTAGCAAAGTTACTTTGATGTATGATGAGGAAATATGACATTTTGCCCAAACGTAACTGATAGTACCCACCATAAAACAAGTGGGGGGTATAATGAAATAGTCAGACCACAAAGTTAGTTCACTTGGACTGGGGTTAATGAAAGAGAACAACAACCTTACATGTTTTGTCAGCAAGGGAACAAAAAGAAATAGTTTTGCAAACTTTATTGCTCTGTGGACTTACCTTGTAAAAGTCCTTTTAATAGTCCGTGGGTGTGGCTTCAAGTCTGGCTATGTCCTGTAATCAGGGTTGGCTCTATGGTTGCTGACACCCCAGGCAAGCTGAACTTCAGCATCTTTAAAAAGTATAATTTTTTTTAAATTTTTACATGATTGTGTGTTTGGCTTTGATGGCACCCCAGGTGACTGCAAGTACCTTGAGTCGACCCTGCCTGTATTAGCAGTTTCCCTTAGGTTGTATGTGCTTTTCTACCCATGGCACAGTGAATACAAAACAAAAAAAGGTTTATTCATTCATGTTTTGTAGCTTAATTTTGGCCAATAAGCTGGCTTCTTATATTTACTGCATCTTCAAAATAAGGAGTGTAACTCTTGTCCATTGTTTTCATTTTAATTGTAATTCATTTTAATTCTAATAAAATCCTAATATTTTAATCTTTTTCCCTTTTAAACTGTCATTTTCCATTAAGAATAATTTTCTTTTTTACTTGACCCTTGTGTTTGCTCACTCATTTCAATTGTACTTCATTTTAAAATTGATTATGTAAATAAAACCACCATAAACTGGAATTTTAATCATTATGAATGATGTTATGAGAAGCTGATGAAAATTGAAACTGTTGTTCTACAAAAATTGTGTTTTTTTGTAAAGAGAACAGAAGCTGATAAGTAAAAATTGTTTTAGAAAAACAAAAATTTGATTTTCAAACTATTTTTATTTTCTTAATTTCATTGTTTTGTAGGAATTCCAAATGAAAATGGAAAGTCTTCAGCAAAGAAGAGCTGAACTGGAAAGAAAGGAATTACAACTGAAAGAATCGCTGGAAAAATTTGATAAATTTTTAAAGGTGAAATTATTTTAGGATTGTCATGAATTGCAAAGTTGGAAGTTTTCATCATCTGTGCAAACAATTTAGTTGGTTGACGCTAGAAATAAAAACACCATTTAAAAACTCATTCTTTTCTCACTTATTGTGTTTCCACAAAATCTTTTTTCAAATGTTCTAAAGATTGAAATTTTAATTTCTTCAACTCAAAAAGTTCTTTCTTTCCTCATTGTTTCCTTCCTGTCTCTAAAATGCCATTCAACAATGGATGACAATTTTACTTTCAAAATAAGAATAAAGTAGATCTATGCTGAAAATATTATTGTAACCTAACAATGTTTCTGAAATACCACAAAATGCTAACTTTATTTGACTGATTTTGTAACTAATTATTTTTTTGAAAATTCAGTTTTAAAATTTTTGGCACTGTTTGAAAGATCATAACAGCTTTAATGTAAAATGTTTTTTTTTAATTCTGGAAATGTAGAGCTTGTCTAATGGTTAATATCATAGTAAATGGAACCATTGAACAGAGTTCAAATCCTGGCTGAGGTAGTTTGTATTCATTTCATACTACCCTACTCAAGAAAAGAACATAAATCTAGCTCTTCCCCTATAGGTTAGGTCAGGGATTACTTCCTGCTGTACTACTATGTAAACCAATACACACTCTATCGCATGTTACTTAAAGAGAAGATGGATTCCCAGAGAAACACCATGAAGAACTCAGCATAGTAATGCAGTAACTAACAAGAGCAGTTATATTTCAATAAGAGACAATGAGTGTAGGAAGATTGTGTAGTGTCAATCTTCGAAATGGAAATCACTTGACTGCCTTGAAAATGCCAATCACTTTAACTGCAAAATAGCCCCAAACTAAAAATGTAATTTATGTACTTACCTCACCTTGTCTGCTAGGGATGTTTTTCAAATGCCTGATAGGTGGTGTTGTTCAATAGAGTATAAAAGAACACAAAATCTTTTTCTCTTCAACCACTGGATGTCATGTCTCTCATTTACCCTCCAGAGGAATTCTTAGTCTTCTTACATTGCAGTGTCATATACAATGCAACAACACAACACAGGTGTCACAAAAAAGACCTCCCGCAGTCAAAATAATATTGCCATTACAACCTACCCTATAAATATATATTTCCTTCCAACATAAGAAAATATCCATCTTCCACAAATGAATCAATCTAACGAGAAAGTCTCAATTCTCATTCCAAACTGGTGATCTCTAATCCTGTTAAACATTCATGTATAAGCATCAAATGATTTGGATACACAATCAAAATTGGATTCAGAGTTTGAAGGATTTTACTTCATCAAAATTGGTTTTTCTTTACAGCTTTTGTTCTTCTCACTTTCTGCTAACAATGTACCACACCCACTGGTGTAGCTAGAGTGTGTGCTGCCCAGAGCAACCCTAGAGTTTTTTTGCCCCTATCCCTGGCCCCTCGACAAATAAATATAACATACAGTACAGTGACTCCTCTATATATATATATATATATATATATATATATATATATATATATATATACTCAACTCTCCCGTTGAATTCGACATATGAGGGTCAAGCAGATTGGTTCCTAGAAACTGACAGCCCGACAACAGCACATAAGATTTGATTATAGTGGTGAAGGTTTCATTGTAGGGCTGAATACAGAGACCTGGTGCATTATATGCTACAGGATCCCCAAAACACCTTCCGCAGGTTTTGAATTTAGAGTTGTTCTTCTCCTAGACCAGTTGCCACCCAAGGCTATAGAACTCGGTCTGTCCTGCTATTTACCCATAGCTATGGGGAGAAGAAGAGGATTCACACCTTTCCTCAATCTAAGCTGCTATCCATTACTCCACTGTACCTTCTCATATATATTTCATTGAATAATATCGACATATATTGTGTCTACTTATTTTTATACTGATCTTTTCCAGTTGTCTAATCAGTTTCTTGGTGTTAAAATAAAATTCATCAAGGAAGTTTTAGTTTTTTTAACCAAACTACTTTCGACCTATTCCAAAATCAGGGGTAAATTACAAAGATAAACTTATTGTAACTGCTTATTGTATTATGACAGAGTGCATTTGAGGATGTTTTTAAATATTACCATCACAATAGAATGCAGATTTTATCACAGTGAATTTATTCAACAACTTGATGCATAGAAAATAAAAGAATGTTTAACCCAGAAAAATGATCCCAATTTCATCTTGAATGTAATTCAATTACTGGAGGTGAAATGAAATACTCATACCATTCCAGAATGATCCAAATTATATTACAGGAAGAACTACCAACTTTTATTTGGACATTTTAAAGAGATTCTATCTATTTGCATTATGAACATTTGAACTTAGAATTTCATGAAACATGAACGCTTGACAGTATCAGATAAGTGTCTTTTATTGATTTTAGGTCTTTTATCCCATACTCTTCCCATATTCTGTTGTTTTTGTTATATAAAATTATTTACAAGTGTTCATCTTGTTTGTGTCATTCGTCGACACTTGTGTCATATATTCTAATCTGAGTGAACCCATCTTTTCTTTTTTTTTTTTTAACCTAGAGTTCATATCTCTATATTACAAATTCATAACACCTGGCAGACAAAATACCTGTTAAAAATCAGTCCAGAGCTGAAAACTCAGTCGTGGTTATTCTTTGCTTTCTAGAAACCATTAGAAAGGCACTGGTGCCTGTGACAAAAACTCAGAAATATTTCAGGCACATTTGTTCAATTTTAGTCTTAGTTGTTTCATATGAATTAGTTTCTTTTTCTCATAAGAGGTTTTTTTTGTTTTTGTTTTTTTTTTTTTTATTAATTCTTGGTAGTTTTATATTTTCAGGAAAATGATCTGAAGAAGAATCGGGCCATAAAAAAGGCAAACGATGAACGAGATATGAAGAAAGCCAAAGACAAAGAAATAGAAATGTGAGATCCGAAATTGGTGAATTTTAAAAAAGAATTCTTCCTTCAAATAATATCATAAAATGTCATTTCTCTTCTTCAATGAAAGGGTGACAAATTCTTTTACTGTTTGCTTTTAGATGAAATATAATAATGGGGAGATCAGCCATTTCCTTATAAGAAAACATTTGGCATTCATTGATGAAACAGTGTTACTATCAGTTGGAATTTATAAAATCTATCTATTAAAACAGTTTTTGAGGAAATTAAGTTTCTCAACTCTACAAATTCTTATCACTCTTTATAGTAATAATGGAGATTTCCTTCCACATCTTTTGTCTGAAGTAGTGTGGAAAGTCAACATCTTGAAAATATGATCATTTTCTCTTCAAATTACATATGCTATCCATTTTAGTTGTTTCCGTTGTTCAAAGTCTTCAAGTGATGTGTTTTGGTAAAATCTCTTTGTTTGTAGTTCTGTTGCACAAGTCTCTATGAGATCGATCTGATTATAAGTAATGTCCTCTTTAAGACCGACAGTTGCTCATTCACTCGAATCAATTTTTAATCTTTGATCTGAGTAAATGTGTATAGCTGAGAGTTTGGATGCCAGGCATGACATTAGCTGTTTCTGTTTCTTTCTAAAGCAAGAATTCTTTCCTTGAATCCAAAAAAAATCACTTTCTTTCCAACTGACTTTTCTCTTTGCTGCTTCATTGATTGTATCTCATTTCTGTAGATCATTCAATCATAACTATCACAACATCTCTGGTCAGTTTAAGCAAGAGCAGGTATCAATTTAAAAATGATAATGGAAGATTGAATTGACAGGTGCTTCTCAAAGAATTAGAATATCATGAAAAAGTTAATGACCCAGTCTTAATGATTTTGTTGCCTTGCTTGGGGCGAAAAGATTACAAAAAATTTTGATTTAACTGTAGGTCATAACTAGTAAAATTAAACTAAAAAAAATGCTTGAAATATTTTAGCTCTTACGTAATGAGTTTAGAACACACACACACACACACACACACATATATATATATATATATATATATATATATAAAAATATAACTAACGCCTTTATCCACTGTGCCATGTGTCCTTGAGTTAGATCCAGTGACAGGACCCAAAGTGTGTGAGTTTAATACCCAGTTAAGGCAGTGGAGAACTTGCAGGGGGCGAATTAACAGGAGATAACTGAAAACTGACATCCATTAGACATGGCACGTGGAACTAGAACAGTCTACACCAGTGAATGAAATAAAGGGTTCAGTTTGACATTCCAACCACCTGAATAAGGCTGGAACATACAATGGCCGAAATGTTGTAATAAATATGGCGAAAAGATGAGGACAATAGTCCGAATAATGTAAATAGCATATTAAGTTGTATATTGTAATAAACTCATTATTCTACATTTCCAGTTTTTTCATTGTGAAAATTTAAAAATTATACTTGTAAGGGTGCCAAAGTTCAGCTTACCCAGGGTGCCAGCAAACCTAGGGTCATCACTGCAGCTAATAATAAATCCTGGCAGGACTACTAATTTTCTTCTTTAAATTTAATTCATTATTTCAAATAATTACTACTGTTGTATGGTTTGCTATACGGAAATATTTATTACTTCATCAATGAGTTCTTCACACTTATTATGCCAAACACAGCTAGGTTCAGTCAATATCAATAAAAATGTCTTCTTTTTTTTTCATTACAGATTGCAAGTGGAATCAGAAAACTTAAACAAAGAATGCAAACAGATGAAAAACAAACAAGATGCGTATATGATATTCAACTCTTTTATGCTACGAATCTTGAATGACACGGAAGAATTTAATGAAATTAGAGATATCATTTCACGATACGACACACTGATCTCTACATACAAAGTAAAGACATCTTCAAATGATTCTTTCTTTTCTGTGCTGTGTCCCTTCAAGATGTCAGCGATCATGACTTTCCATAATTTCCTATTGTTTGTATCTCAAAGTAATGCTTTCTTTTTTAACTATGCCTCCCACTTTCAGTTCTGCTATTAGTTGGTTACTCGCTGTTTCTCTCTATCCCTCTTGCCTTCAATATGTCCCTGTGAGTGTTAAATTCTCTAAGCTCTCTTTCTTCCTTACATGCTCCAGAAAGTTCAACTCTTTCTGATTCTAAGTATAAGCATCTTTTTTTGTTTCCATTTTCTTTAAAACTTCCTCATTACTCTCTCCATGGAATTCTCAACATCCCTCTGTAGAACAAGATGTACATATGTGAAAAAATTGTCACTGCCATGTAGAAGGATTGATATTACATAGCAGTTTAGCACACTTTTCTTTGTTTCTAACAAAATCCTCTTGTTTCTTAATACTTTAGCTTTTGGAAACCATTTTTTGTTATTCCAATGCACATTCGGATTTCTGTGCCATATTTTCTGTTGTATTTAACAATTATTTGAGAATATATCCTTTAACATGCGTTAGAAGAAAGATTTATAAGGGAGACTGATAAAAAAAAAAGTGAATCTTTTTAATAAAATATGATGACTTTTGTCTTGCTTTGTCGCAAGTATCAACACTTTTGATAAAATTTTTATGCTCCTGGTACTTTTGACCCATAAACAATTTTGGCAGACTTGTGTTAGTACAAAGGAAAAATAAGACATAGAATTCAAAGAAATAAATATTAACGAATATATTGCTTGGACATTTTACAAAAGGAACAATGAGAAGTGAAATTAAATGTGAAGAGTTCAAATGCAACATTCAGTGTCTGTTTGAGGAAGCAAAAAGAATATGTATTTTTGCTATGAAAGGTCACCAAGAAAGAGAGATGGATTCTTTCAAATCTCGGGTCACGTGTGTTTATCATCTCACCACACGTGATTATCATCAGGGGGCGGTAATCAAAAAGCTTTTAAATATTCACATGCATTTCAATCAGGTATGAATTTGTATTTATTCAGTCTAAAGATGAATGCATTCTATTATTATTTTTCAGGATTTGGTGGAAGCTGAACAGAGAAACCAAGATATGATTGAAAAAATTAAACAGAACACTCTCAGAGAGACAGAAGTAAGAAGTTTGGATTTTTTTATTCAATTGAAAAATATTTGAAATTTTGTGACATTACTGCCTTTTTTTTTTAAAGAATGCATTTCTTTGAGACAGATTTATATACACCTGGAGGTTTATGACCATGTCACATTGGAACACTGGTTTTCATACAATTACTGAAGTTTAAGCAATGTTAAGCATGGTCATTACCTAGATGGGTGACAGCTTGGGAATACCAGGTGCTTTAACCTTGGATGTTCCTTAATCTTACTTATTATAAAACGCAGGTTGTGTGTGTGTGTGTGTGTGTGTCTGTAACGTTTATATGTTGGATCGAATTTCCTACATTTTTTAGCCGATTTCAACAAAACTTCACAGGACTACATAAAATTACCTTGTGGTGGTTCTAACGGGACCGAAAATGGGAAAAATACAGTTGTTTTTTAATAAAATCAATTTGAAAACACGATTAAGACACATCGTGAGAATGAAAGGGGGAGAACCCACGAAAATGTAAACAAAAGAGCATAGCATAATGAAAAAGACGCCGAACTTGATGAAAACAAAATTTTATCGTCTAATGTTCATATTATTATTAAAGAGGAAAGATCAAAGTATTTTGGGGGTATTTTTTTTTTGTTTTTAATCGTTCTTAGCACGTCTAAAATTTTCGTTAAAATATTGTTTTTTTTGGTCAAAAAAGGGCAGATAATCATTTTCATTCATTTTTTGATTTGATAAAAAAGATTAAAATCTTACTTTGATATTCTTTTAAAAGTCAATTATCATTTTTTTCAAAACTGATTTTAATAAAAACAGATATTATACTGTTTATTTAAAATATTTTGAACCAAGCTTAACTTAGCTTCTGCGCCGAAAAATGTAATTTGAAAATAAAACAAAGCAGGTCATAACCTTTCGCGTCGCTTGACGATTGACGAAAAGGCACATTCATGACGTTTAGATAACTTACGGGAGGAGAATTCTTTCTACGGATGGAAGGAAGTGAAATTATTTAAGTGAACAAATTATTTACCTTGTTACTTTTAAGGAAAACTTTCAGCGCTCTAATTTTTTATTTTTTTTTTATTTTTTTTTTTTTTGTACTTAGCTTTCATTTTTACGTTTACGATGCTTTATGGAAAATATAAAGAAATTAAAAAATAAGACTGTTAATAGTGAGATTAAATTTCATAAGAAAAAGGTATCTAATTAATTTAGGTACCTTTCTTATGAAATTTTATCAGAAGTGTACATAAAATACTATAATTTTATGTACATTTATTACATTTTACTGTGTTATTTGTATTTCCATTCATTTTATTATTAATTTTGATATTTCATTTATGGAAAAATGTCATAACTGAGATTAATATAAAAATAAGATCATATAAATTAAAGTTTAGCAGTAGTTAAATTTCATAAGATGATACTGTTACTTGTAGGTACCCTTTTCAGTTGAAATTGAAAACTCAAATTAACTTCTCCATACGTGTTTCACCAAAAGTAAAGGGCTTAACAGCAGAGAACAATGCTGAACTCAAATAATGCAACTAAATTGTATTCTGGTTGGTCTTCCGTACTTGATAATTACTGTCCGACTATAAACACAAAAATTACATTTTTTAATTAACATGGCTAATCTGATTGGTCCAAATTATACAATTTTCAAAGCGCTAGACAATGACAATCTCACACGGACATTTTGAAAGGTTGATGTTGCTTTTAACTAATGTTAAAATATTTTTTAAATTCAATTTAAACATTTTTCAAAAATCTTTTTAAAATTAAAGAAATAAGAAATAATTGTATTAAAATTCAATTTTCATTGAAAAAATTTTTTGCTTTCAGAAAATATTGTCCATATTCATAAAAACAAATTAAAACAAATAAAAGCATTTGAAACTAAATAATATATTTGTTTTATTGAGTTTTGTATGTTACAATTCACAGCTGATTTTCAGGTACGTTGGCCAAAAAAAAAAAAAAAAAAAAAAAACATGATTTGCATTCTTCAAAGCCTTGTGCTTTTAACTATTGTAATCACTAAAACCGATGGTCTCGAATTTCTAGAGTTTTCATAAAATTAGTTATGGGGTGTTAATAAATATAAAAAAAAATATTTCTGCCATGACTTTAATAAAAAAAAAAATTTTATAATAATTTCGATCATCTGTGAATAGTTTCTGAAAGTTTCATTAACATCTGACAATTATTTTTATTTTTGCAAGATTTTCCAAATTAATGTGTAAATACAAAAAATGCGCTAAAATTATCTATGTTATTTACTACCCCTTGTTGCGACAAAAGAGAAACAAGGTTTTTAAAATCAAAATTTAGAATATTCTAAAAGATGGAAAAATTTTTAAAAATAATTAAAAAAAAATTTTGTCTATCCTCTTCATAAAAAAATAAGCCTTTTGACGATAAAATTTTGTTTTCATAAACTTTGGCATCTTTTTCATCAGACTATGCTCTATGTTTTAGCGATTCTGTGGAGTGACTTAGGTTAAAAATCCAGGTTGTTTAGGTGTGTGTGTGTTATATGGGATCGGATTTCTTACATTTTTCAGCTGATAAAACAAACATCCACTTTTTTTTTTCGGCAGGTAGTATTTCTTATTGTCTTGCACACTTTTTTCTTTATTTACATTCAGAATGCTTTAAAAATTCCATTTACAAGACAATTGTTTATAATAAAATTCTATTCACCAATCGATAGACTCATAACGATTGTAAACAATGTTTTTGTTTGAATTTGGGTTTGACCAATTCGTACAAAAAAAAAAAAAACTAATTAAGACATGCGTGTCCGTCAACCTTAAACAATAATCTTTGTCAATTTTATTTTTCAGTCTTTATGATGGTCGATACTTGATCTATCTCTTACTGTTACATCCCCGGGCAACGCCGGGCTCTACTGCTAGTTCTATATAATTTTATCACATTCAAACATAAGTTCCTGTATGATCACCGAAGTTAAGCAACATCTAACCTAGATGAGTGACCGCTTGAGAATACCAAGTGCTTTAAGATTGGATGTTCCTTAATTCTATATATTTTTGTCACAATGAAACACCAGTTGTCATATGATCACTGAAGTTAAGCAACATTGAGGCTTGATGGGTGACCGTTTGGGAATAACAAGTGAGGTAAGCTTGTATGTGCAGGTGGTGTAATGGATTATGACTCAGAATTGTTAATCGGAGAGCTGAGTTCCAATTCCAGTTGGTTTTGTTATATTCACTTACATAAAAATACACTTGGGAAAGGTATAAGTCCACCCCTTCTTCCCCCAGCTATAGGTTAAGGACTTGTATCTGTAAATCAATCTCCAAAACATTCTTACAATCTAAAAATAAATTCTGGCTTAAGATGACCTGCAAAAGGTTGATTACCCATAAAAAAACAAGTCAATCAATACACACCTTTTTGTACTTGTAAAGCTTTATTAAAATAATAGTCATAATATTAGTTCCATAAATAATTGTTATTTCATATTCACCCCATTTTGGGAACAGACAAAATGCAACATTGGAACACTGGCATTTATCATTCAGTCAATTTATTTTTATTTGCAGGAAAAACACAATGAGATTTTGGGTTACAACAACTTGTTGAGTAATTTGCAGTCTGAAGTGGAATATTACGAAAGTAAGGCTCTTTTTTGGGAATCCAAATGGAATCATATCAAGAATACAGCCTCAAAAGAGGCTCTCAAGTCAGGACAAATCAAAATGTTTGTATTTTAATTTATTGCCTTTTTCTTTCTTTGATTTTAAAGTTTTTCTAAACAAATATTCAGAATCTTATCAGAAATAATTTGCAAAAATGAAAAATATGTTGCCATTTTGAGTTTTTATTATTTTGTTTGTCATTTTTTGGTTCTATGACCTTTCAACCATCATTGGTCATTGTCATGAATAATTAATTTATATTTTATCAGCTGAAAATCTGGAAAAATTCTGATTAAGTTGCATCATTTCATTTTTGAAAGACATTACAATTTACATTTTAAGTGTACTTCTCATTGCAAGCAAGTTTTCATCTTGGTAAAATATTTTCTCATATAAATTCTCTCCAATTTTCACAATGATTGAAGGTCTGTTTTGAATTCTGTTCACTTTTGTTGCTTTTCTCCAGAGGAAAAATGCCAAATATTTCCCCAGAGAGAAATTTGGATTTTAAAGTTGTTTTACTGATGTCATTGCAATCATGGGATTCAAAATCTTTAGGAACATTTTTAGCTCTTTAATAATAATAATAATAAGAAGAAAAATATTTATCGAAAAATTTTAATAATCAATATATTTTAAATATTTGCAGCTTTTGTTATACAAAATGAACAGAAATAAAATTAAATAAGCAAAACCTTTTTCATCTTTTTTTAGTTTTGCACAATTGAATTGTGACTGAAGAATGTTTTTAAATTAGTGATAAGAGAAATGTGTTATTTTACAACAATTCAGAAAAACTGGTTTTCTGAACTTGTCTAATTTTCTTAACCAATTCAAACAAACTGAATTCCATCACTGGCATTTTCATTTCTTACCACACTTTTAAAAACTTGTTTTATTTTCAAATTGTGGTTAATGTTTTATTTTTTTTTATTTCAGGGCCACTCGTAATTTGTATAATGTGATTAAAACGTATCAAGAGCAAATCATCACAGAGGAAGTGACAACTTTACAACAATTAAATTATGTAAGCATTGAAATTTATTTCTGGAAATTTGTTTTAACATCTTCAACATAAATATTGGTTTTCCTTTGAAAAGAATTTGATGATTTCAGTTATTGAAGAGTAAAAAACTGAGGAAGAAAAGAAAAAAGAGAATGAAAGAAAGTTAGAAATTAGAACAGGTGGAATATGATTTCTTTTAATGCCAATAAAATCCATCTCATGGCAAATCTGGCTTTTTCTTTCTTCTTCTCTAGCCAGAAAAAGAAATCTTTTTCATTCATTGATTCATTCATTTTTTATGGCTTATCAACCCCTTTGCAGGTTATTTAAAGCCAGAAAAGATTTTTAGATTGTAAAAATATTTTTTAAAGATAATAATGGTTAAGCAATAGTCTTACCATAGTTGACCTCTGCATAGATGATGGCTTTTCTGATATTCCTTCAGCTTTAATTTTCCTCTGAAAGTCATGAGTTCAATCTTTGAGTCAGGCATCTGAGAGAGAAAAAGAGGATGACAGAGACATATACGAGCTGTGTTCAAAAAGTATCCTTTATTTTTTTCCCACCAAAACTAATGCGACATGGGCAAAATTCTCTGTGTGAGAAGTGACACCACTCATCCTGTGCATGCATGAAAATTTTTGTTTGATGCATTCGATCATCTTGTGTGAAAAATGAAAATCTGACATAAACGCACTACACATCTGTACTCTAGGTGTGACAGCCAGAAAGTGATGTGGCCTACCAGAGCAAAAATTAGAAAATAAAGAGAGACAGAGACAGAATGTAAAATTTCAGATGCAGTATAACTGTAAAAGTGCAATACAAATAAAGACCAAAGAAAACTTAGCTGATGTATTTTGTCCTCTGAGGGACTTTATAAAGGAAAGAGGATGAAACATATCAGCTAAGATAAGTTTTCTTTTGTCTTTATATATATATATATATATATATATGATAACAATATATATTTTGGTTTTAAAAACAAAAAAACTAAACATAGTACCACGCTATCCACCTATGGAAAACCAGACAAGAAAATGATAAAGACGCCATCCTTAAATGGGAAATATTAAAAAAATGCCCCAAATATAAAAGCAGGCCAAAAATTTTGTAAATTATGTACAGAGGAGAAATTAGCCATAGCTTTATATAATCAACCTAACCAGCTATTAAACTCCAAAACCGAAATTCTTAACATATGTAGGCATAAAAAATCTTGGTTACTGAATTAGGACGAATTTCCCTGTTTGTATTGTCATTCCACCTTTATTGTTCGTGTTTTAATATCCCCTCCCCTTTTAGTTGTTGAATAAACCTTTAACTCCCCACCCCGGTGTTCTTATTTTTTTCTTTATCTTTGATCACGTGGTATAATTTTGACTATCAACTATAAATATGCGTTTCTCTTTTGCCTCTTTAGCCAGCTTTCCCTGACGATCCACTTAGGTGAAACCTTGATAGGTTTGTCTGGCTCACTAGGTTTGACTAGGTCTGCTCTACGGTTGTATTGAGCTCTTTTGTTAGTTAGTTGTTTACTCGTATCGGGGTTTTTTCTTTGGGCTTCAGACCTGTATCTGTGCGTTTTTTTCAACAGACTTTCATGTTTCTAGCTCTTTCTTTTTTTAAGATTAATTTGATTATTGGCAAATCAAAAATTCAAAGGTTTTTCGAAACGAGCATAGTTACCTATATTTGTATATATATATATATATATATATATATATATATATATATAGAGAGAGAGAGAGAGAGAGAGAGAGAGAGACATCATAATGAAGAAATGATGACTTCTGAAAAATTATACTGGACACTAGACAAAAATGAGAACAGTGTAACTCCCATTTTGTTCCCCATTTGCAGGAGTCAGTCAAATGCAAGAGTCACCTGAGGATGGTTGGAGAATAGGTTGGCCGAAGCATCATGTATACAAGAGATGAATGACATTTTCATGTCTTATGATTTGATCATCAGTGGATATGAAATAATTCGGCTTATTAAAATTCTTCTCCTTTATTCAACCAGTTTGAGGTCTTGACCTCCTCTACCGACAAGGCTGAATGCTTTGCTCGGAAATTCTCATTTAATTCAACGCTCGACTCCACCGGTGTACCCATACCAGACTTCCCTCTTAGAACTGAGGCCTTACTGAGCGGCTTACACATAACCCCGTCATTGGTACTGGGCATTATCTCCACCTTAGACCTCCACAAGGCTAGTGGTGGAGATGGCATACCAGCCATTGTCCTGAAGAAATGCGTTAGCACCCACCCTCTCTAAACTGTATAATTACTGCCTCAAGGAATCATGTTTTCCTGACTGCTGAAGTCCTCATCCATTGTTCCTGTGTTTAAGAACTCTGGAGACCCCTCTGACCCCTCTAATTACCGTCCTATTAGTCTCCCTACCCTCTTCGCAAAGTCTTGAAGCCCTAATCAATGCCGAAGTGGTTAATCACCTTACATCCCATAATCTGCTCTCAAACAAGCAATATGGTTTCCTTCGCCCAATCTACAGCTGATGTGCTTACGGCCATCACTGAAACCGTCTACCAAGCCCTTCAAAATAATGGTGAGGCTCGTGCTGTGGCCCTCGACATCTCCAAAGCATTCGATAGGGTTTGGCATGCCGGCCTTCTTCGTAAGCTCCAGGGGTATGGTGTTACTGGTCAACTGTTTGATCTAATACAATCATTCCTGTCTAACCGAGAATTGAAGGTCGTTCTCAACGGATTCTCCTCCAGTTGCTATCCCACAAACGCAAGTGTGCCCCAAGGCTCCATCCTTGGCCCCACTCTTTTCCTTATTTTCATCAATGACCTTCCTGAAGCTATAGATTCCCAAGTTGGCATCTATGCAGATGACACTACAATTTACTCCTGCCTCAAAAACAAATCTAGTGTCGGCGACAAAACTAACCTTGCCGTGCGTCTTGAAATGGACCTCCAATCGGTTGTTAACTGGGGCAGGAATTGGCTGGTCAGCTTTAACGCCACAAAAACTAAATTACTCTCAACTAACCACCATAGAGATCCTTCCCTGCCCTCCATTAAAATGTCTGATAGTCAACTTCCTGAGAGCAACTCCCTGCGTCTGCTCGGTCTCACGCTGACTGCTGACCTGAGATGGAACAAATACATTGAGTCAATTGCTTCTTCAACCGCGAGGAAAGTTGGCTCTCTGTGCTGCGACAGGAAATTTTTCTCCCCTGAATCGATACTTCAAATATACAAAACAACCATTCGCCCTTGCATGGAGTATTGCTGCCATATATGGGCTGGAGCACCTTCTGCTTACCTCGGAGTTCTTGACAAGATCCAGAGACGGATATGTAATCTAATTGGCCCTGAACTAGCGTCTTGTCTGCAGTCACTCTCTCACAGACATGCCGTCGCCTCTCTCTGTCTTTTCTACAAATACTTCCATGGTAACTGCTCTGATGAGCTGCTCTCTCTGGTTCCCAGACTCTATGAATTCAAGCGCCCTCTGAGGCTGGCATCCCGCTCCCACCCTTTAATCAGAGAAACCTTCAAATGTAGCCGTCTCTTCTACTCCAATAGCTTCATACCTCACACCTCTCGCCAGTGGAACACCCTCCCCAATTACTGTTTCCCTGAAAGCTATAATCTCCAACTATTCAAATGTAATGTCAATCGACATCTCCAATTACCTTGATCTACCCACTATCCTTCTCCTCTTCCTTTCTCCTATCACTCTTATCTGCTCTCGCTCCAAATCTTTCGCACCCCCCTGCATCCTAGTGGCTTCATGCCTTGCTTTGGAGCACAATGCTTAAAAAAATAAAAAAAATAAAAAAAATAATAATCATCAGCAGCAAAAACTTTAAACACTTGGCATCATGAGAGGATTCCACCAATAAATTCATTCTTTCCTTTTATTTCATTCATAAATAAGAAAGATACAAATTGGTCAAAAAGAAATTTACTATTTCTCCTTAAGTCTATTGCATAGGATTTCCAAGGAAATCTGACATTACAATTACAAGAAATGATGAAATTATTTTGTCTCCATAAAATGTTTCTATTGAGAACAACAGCAGAAAAAAATCTTTTCTTTTATCTGAATTTCTTGGATGAGAAGTTACCATTATATCCACTAGTTACATTGTAAACATACATCATGACTCTCATCCAAACTTTCCATGGATTGGCCAATGATTAACCCCAAATTTCATTCTGATTCTCAATCTCGTCAGTGTTCACCAAAAACTGGGAAAGGGTGTGCTGCATGTTCACAAGGCAACACAATGAAAGACAAACACCATGTTGAGAAATAAGAACGCAAACCCTGTTTTCCATATTATATGTAGGTGTTTTATTTGGTTCCATGCCTGCTCATCCAGGTGGGTATGTACGTGATGCTTGAGACAAATTCTGCTATGTCATCTCTTCCCCTTATCCACTTCTTGCTCATCGAAACATTCTGATGTGGTGGCTGGCAATATGAATGGACACCATAGGAACGGCACAAGCTAACTAGCAGTCCCCACTGATCCCAAGCATCACTAATATAGACTAGCACCCGGATATACCCTATTCTCCGGTTTTGTTGTCACTTGATCTCAAAAAAACCCTGTTCCCCTTCAGACAATATGGATGCTGCTTAGAAAACTAGGTTTCAAAAAGAACCTCTTGCTGGCTATTAAACAAACCCTTGACATTAAGATTTTGTTGTTGTTATCACTGTTTCGACTGCAGGGTTTTCTGGCCTTCTTCAGGGAATTTTGAACTGAACCTTTTATTTAATCCATAAGTATAGATTGTTCTCATTTCCACCATCCATGTCTACAGATAGCTTGTCTTGTTCTTTTTAGTACTACTTGCCCTGTTTGAGCCAGGTTTGTACTTCCTGACCCAGGAATTAAACTCACAATTATTATACTACCAAATTTACAAACCATACCTTTATTCCACTAGGCTAAAAAAAAACAAAATGAGAGATAATCCTTGTCTGCTTTCTCACCCCACTTTTGCCCAAGTGTGTTGATATGACAAAATAGAGGCTGGATAGCTTCCACCTTGTCTTCACTAAAAGTTATTCAAGGGTCAAAAAAGCATGTTTCTTTAAGTAGTATTTCACCAAAAATTCTTACTTCTTTACAGAAAAAACTCTTAGCTGCTACCATGGCATCCATGACACCAGAGGATTGACATAGGTTAATCAGTTAATTACTATAGTGAATGAAGAAATAGGTGAGATCCAAAATCTAATTTTACATAGGGGTGAGAAATTTTTGAATACAAGGTTGTCATTAGTTAGAAAATAATTTCACACTGGCTTGTGAAAACCGTGTGGGAGACCCATGCCTACTAGGGAGGCAGGGGTAGAAGTGCTAATTTCAATAGCATTTATTTTTTTAAATTGTAATTTTATTTCTGAATACTTCTTTTAAAACAATTAAGAGAGAAATATATCTTTTCGTAGAATCATTTTTTATTCCCAGATCATCCACTAATTTTTTTTTACTAATAGTAATACTAACCAGAAGTCCATGGCTAATAATTAAAATAAAATTTCTAGTCCCTATTTTTTACATTTCTAGAAAGATAAAACCAAGAAAATGATTGCTTAAGAAAATGTTTCAAGATTCCAAAACATGAACATTTTTCATGAAAACTGAAATACTGTTTTTAAAACAAATTTTTAAGACAATCGCATTTGTGTTGTGTTGGAATCTTTGTTAAACTTTTTTTTTCAGCAGAGATGTGTCAGTGATTAATCTTTAAGGAAATGTAAAAATTTGCTACTTAAACATTTTTTAAGTAAAATTTAGTCATGAAAATATTGGTGGTTATTACAAGAAGAATAAAATTTTCTCAGATTTTTTTAAATAAAAAAAAATATTCATTACTAAAAATAAATAATTAATAAATATGTAATGAAATTTTCATTTAAATTTGATAATTCACTGATTTTTGATAATTTAAAAATATGGTGCCCTTTCCCCCAATTTTTCTTCAAGGGTTTATGGCCCCCAGGCTTTGAAATCGACATGTAGTTGGGAGGGGTCCCCTAAGACTCTAGCACTGGCCCTGACATCTGCCAAGTATTTGGGCAGTATTTGCCTTAATAATGATTGTTTACACAATAAATCTGATGGAATTTTATTGGTTGAAAAATATATATAGAATTTAATTCCTATATTATTAAAATAAAGGTTCTTTTTACTTTTTCAGGTTAGAATATTTGGAGAGGACCTAACAACAATCACGCAGACAATTTACAATGAATTCTGTCAGGATGAAGTCAACTAAAGTTGTCTAAGAGAAAGTCTGCAGAGTCACTTTCAACAATGAAAAAAGAAAAAAGACAAGAGTTTTTCTGAACTCTCTCCATCAAACCTCTTGACATTTTGTTTCAAACTTTAGATTGAAACAAAAAAAAAAAAAAAAAAAAAAAACTTTTACATCAGACATGAATTACCTGAATGAATTTTAAAATTCCTAAACACAACATTGATCATAAGGAAAATCATGTCAGATACAGAAAAGAAAATATTTTTGTTAAAAAAATGTTTAAATAAAACAATACTAAAGAGTATTATCTTAAAGATAGAAACATTTATTAAAAATGTAGCAAGTCATCAACTACTCAGCTTTTCCTAAATAAGCAATGATATAATGTGAGCATTTTTTCATTATTGTTTAATCTAAAAAGCCTTTAATAGAATGTGACACATCACCTAAAAGAATTGATAAACCATTGATGAAAGTAAAGATGTGAGTAGATTTCTGTAAAACCACAAAACAATGTAAAAATGTAATTATTGAATTTGTGGAACTGTTCCCCACAAACTGCCATTTTGACATCTTTACAATTTATCAGCATTTATTGGTTTTGGCAAATGAAAACTTTTGTGGCATGCAATTATACAACTTCATTGTTACATTCAATGTTGTTTGAAAAAATCTAGGTGATCAAGAAGATTTTCTCATTTATAAAGCATTTATTGAAAAATGATGACAACATTCATTCATTCAAAAGAGAATCTCCTTCAGATAAAAAACTATTTGATTGGATGGAGACATTGAAATGACATGTATTTATGGAATTGATATTAAAGATGGGTTCAGTCAGTTTTGTGCACTTTTTAAATTTTGGATTAAAGAAGATAAAGAGATTAGCAGGATTATCATAAGATTCATTTGATCCCATGGTGAAGCAACACTGAAATCAGGTCCTGATGTAACAACAAACTACAACATCTGCATTCTCTGTTGATAAACTCTCTCTCTCTCTCTCTATATATATATATATATAATACAGGTAATAAACCCATTGGTATATAATCAAAAAGGATCCTAGTAATATAATATTAAAACTGATCCACAAAAAGAGCTCAATGAATTTATTATAACAGTGCATATGAATAAAAAAATCCAAAATTACCTCATATGGGGGCGGGGGGAGATCTATTTCAATTGACAAAACTATGTCAGTCTTATTCAACCCTGGTGTATAGACAGTCTATACACTGGGATTGAATAAGACTGCTGTAGTTTTGATGGTTGAAATAAATCTATTCACCCCCATATGAGGTAATTTTAAATTTCGTTGTGTAATATATATATATATATATATATAACTGGATAAATATAGGTAGGTATATGAGTGAATACTTGTATACAAATAGCTAGCTCCTACAGAGGGCTCTTGATTAGGCCTTCATCACAATATGTAGGTAGGGATTATTGTATGCAATAGGCTACAATAAACTACAAAAGAACTCAAAATTGATCACTTCATTTAAGTATTGCATTAATAGGTAAGCTTATATAATTCTTCTGCCACCACTTAAAGACAATTTGATGTATGTAGGTCCTTACTTTCCATAAAAACAATTATTTTTATTTCATGGGTGACTTTTGCTAGACTTTGCAATTAACTTTGATTATTCTCAAATTTATTTCTAAGTTATAAAAATTGTTATTGTATAAAAAAATTTGTCACAAAAAATCAATTAAAAAAAATTGCTGAAAACAATCACAGTAATGAAAACATGGGAATCCCAAATTTCAGATCTGACCAAGAATGTTTTCAATTTACTCATGGAGTTGGCCTGATTCCAAAATGTTGGACTATAGCCTCTAGGAGTAAAGTTAAAGAAGTATGACATAGTGATATTTGCATTTATTATATATATATGTGTGTGACAATTGTCCCTATTTTATACAAGTTTCATTAAAGTTGACTGACAAGGTATTATATGATTAAGATTTTTATTTAATTTTCTGGAGACAAAATGTGTAAAAACAATCCAAAAGTTCTTCATTTCCAAGCAATTTCACTTATTCTTTTAGGCATTATCAAGGATGATTTTATTTTCACTTTTAACTCAATGTATGGCTTGTGTGTATATATCTAGTTATAGCGACGTTTTATTTTCCAAACACGGTCAGCATGTTGTTGTTCATAGTTGATGTTAATGAGTGTTGTTTTTTTTTTCTTTCTTATTATTAGTGCTTCCATTATTTTTAGTCTTTATTTGCATGTGGATGAAGTTGATATGTTTGTATTTTCTACTAGTATGTTTCAGATGGAGTTTGATAGGTTTAAATGTGTTTTTAGATGAGTCTTAATTGACCTATAGTCAGGTAGATGTAATGTGAGTTGTCCAGATAGACATTCAGTTAAAAATAGAAAATAAAAAATCATCCTTGATAATGGCTAAAAGAATAACTAAAAGTGCTCGGATATGCAGAACTTTCACACAGTTTTTACACAATTTATGTCCAGAAAAGAAAACACTTCTAT